CGAATAGTAGATTTAGTAATGATTTACAGGTTTATCGATATTCTCCTCACGGTCTGACGAAGCATAGTGGACCCGACGCTTGGATCCGACTGGTCCTTCTCGCTTTTCTAAGATAAATTGAATAATATATTATATATACTGAATACAATTATTTTTTTGGATTAAAGTTTTATTATTATTTTTTTTGATACACAAGATTGGCAATTTTCTTCAGAATTAAGAATAAAATAAAAATTTGTGAAAGTGCAAGGATGTGTCAATCGAAGTCATCCAAAAATTTGAAGTTTCAATAACTTTTAGATGAAATAAAATTTTTAAAATATTTTTGTTATATTGTACAGAAAAATATTAACTTCAAATCTGTGTCTATGCACCTTTAACATTTGAACAATTTCAGATTCTTTCCGGAAAGAGCCTATAACATCTATGGGTTATGGGGAACAAAATTTGTGGATATCATGGCCCCTGTCTCCCTGGGGCTTTAGTGATTGGGCCAAAAACACTACAAAATTGATGTTATGCATATAAATATTCTTCTTTACTCATGGACATCAAGCAGTCAAATTGTGTGCATGTATGTAATGAGTATTCAGTCCTCTATCAGAATTGTAATACTCGTGTCCCCAGTATCAGGGGGTTTTAGTGCTAGGGTGGGGTCAAATTTGGTGATACCCAAAGGAAGGTCTTTTCAAAAAGAATATACTGAAATATGAAAGCCTCACCAACTCAAAAGTTGTGAATTAGGTTTAAGTTTTGCGGACAAACAAACAGACAGACGGACAAGTCACAGACAGACGGACGGACATGGCAAAAATAAGATAAAATACCTTCACATAAACGCGCACAAAAATTAACACAATAGAATGGCACGTGCTTTTAGTGCATTTGATAATTATATCGATATTCGAAGTGTTGATGAATGATAAGAATGTTTGTTACATGAACATCTATACTTATAGATCTTCGGATCACATTAGTTGTTAAACTCTCCTAGATATATACTTATTTCGAGCATACATTAAGGTGAAGACCCTATTATATTTTAGTAATGTTAGTCGGACTCCTCGGCTTGTAACACATAGAGCACGTATGATAAGTCTTCACTTAACAATTATAAAATCATACTTTTGTTTACGTAAATGCCTGGCTCTTCTTTCTTGTAAGAATTTCCTCTTCTGTGGATCCCCGTTTCTCCGAGTTTTATCTTTATCGAAACGCACTTAGAAAAACGACTGTTCTGCAATATTAACTATTTCAAACATGATTCAATTGTAGGAATATATATATAAAAAAAATGAAATTTATAGAATCTTATTGCATAATTGTATCAAGAGGCAGGTATAGCCGAAAAATAAGACCAAAAAGAAAAGATTTTGAACAAAAGAAAGTATACAGAACTTTTACATCATTCCAACTCAAATCTGTGAAAGTTGTGACTTTAACTTTGTGTAAACAGGAATTCCACCGGGTGTAGAATTCTACTTGAAGTACTTCCCTGATAGTGGAATTACATTTGCGTGGAAATAATGCATATAAAAAGTATAATCTTTGGTGATTGAATTTCCCATCTTTTTAACAGAATTAAAAGAAAAAGTGGAAGTTATTCTTCGATACGATATATTTCTTGAATATCGATATATTGATACAGCCCTGGTAAATACCGACGGAAAATTTCTTTCCAATTCGACTTGTTTTTGGGAGTTAAACTATGTTCGATCTCCCATGGTCATCACGCACTTAACATGCGCAGTAATTTTTGTTGATTATATAGAGCCGAAAGCGAGGCTACAGTGTCGACCAATTTACTCCGATGATATTCAACAGAAAACATGCATAAACATCCGCCACAAATAGTGCATGTCATTTTCTCCTGAATTGATTTAATTTTTATAATTTGAAATGTAAGTAAATGTAATGATAAAGTATCTTATTTTGAATATTAAATTTCGTTTAAAGTAAAACTAAATTATAAAGAACCTCTAAAGTTTTTCGTAATGGAACTCATTTTTAGTGTAGCATCATCTATAAACACTGAAAGAGATACGAACGACAACTCTACATACTGACGGCAAGCGGTAAATCTAGTCTTCCCGACTCCCGACGGTCCCGGATTTAGGATATTTAACAATTTCTTTTTTACTGGTGCACAGAATTTAATATAACTTTTCCTGAACATTTTCTTGGTTTAAATGAATTCATTAATGCATAAAAACTTTAGGAAACATAGGTATTTATTACTAAATCAGCAGTGCATGTATCACATGCCAAAAAGCGGTAAATCTAGTACTCTGTTATAAATGTTAAAACCAGAACCGGACACCGATGTTTTCGTAGAATCGCGATTAAAAACAACAAAATAAAGTATTTTTTAAATAAAAGGAAACCCTCATTTACATACCAGATAATTTGTACCCACGCTAACTCTCACATATACCACTGTTTTTATGTTTAGTCATTAAATATTTGTTTTTAACTTGGTATTGCTTTTTTCTTCACAATATCCAAAAAAAAAAAATTAAGTTCAGACGTACTCCATGTATCATGTTCGTGTAACTGAAATACATTTATATTCACAGATAAGTTTTATATAACAAACATGTTAGCTCTCAAAAGGATGCTGAGTGAAAATCCACATTTTATCAACATTGAAATTATTCCTGTGAAACTGAAATTATCATAACACATGGGTAAAGGTGCCAAGGAAAAATATATTACAAATTTGATGATGAACTAGAGATACAGGGAGCAGTGAATTATATAAATGATCAACCTCCTCTAATAGGAATATAATGGCAGTGTCCATGCTTTGCAATGGGAAACCCAAAATATGTGTAGGATGAAAAAGTAATAGCAGGTGTACAACGGCAATATGTAATAAAGATTCTATTAAAATTTCATTCAGTGGTGTAAGAGGAATTGCGGATAAGAAATGGGTATACTTAAAGCGTAACAAACAGATGGACGGACATCTCGATCAATAAATACCCTCCCGCTTTTCAAGCAGGGGTATTAAAAAAGGACTAATGTAGGCAGGCAAGTATTATGACCTATGCATTTTTTTTTGCTATTCAATGTCTCTGAATGTCTTTCTCAAGATTGTTGCAACACAAAAAATCTGAAACAGTTGTCTGTATTTAAAATAATAATATTGTTCACTCACTTAACCTTAAGATATTATTTTACACCATGTTCAACTCCCATGAGTACTTTCAGTACTTTGATTTTGTTATTGCAGCCCGGAGGACCGGGCTGCTCTATACATATAAGTTTATATGTTGGTATATGGGGATTGGGGTGGGAGTAGTTATTCAAAATTAATGGTTTTATAAACATTGAAAAGATTGTTAATCAGAATGTTCTTTCTCTTTATAAATTACGAGATACTTAATATATTTACTTCCATAAAGTGAATCTGTAAAAATATATGTTTTTCACATTTAATATATAAAGTTGTTTATCATTTACTATCGAAAAAAACGACAGGTCCCTTTTTTTAGAACATCGAATTTTACTACTCGCATAAAAACGTACTCTGCACAGTTTGTGTTTTATATTTCAAAATTGAAAAATAAATACATTTTTGAATATAGGTGATGCATGTGTCTAACTTCAATTTATATTTTATGCATCCAACATTTACTCGAGGAATTGTAGTTTAAAATGGTATCGTTTTTGTTTGACATTTATCCGACTATTAAGTTTTCCAAATATTCGAGACTATCGTCTCCATCAATTAGACGCATGCCTTTTCACACATATCAAAGCGGTTTGATGATCAAGAGTCATTTCCATTGTTTACTTTATATATTTCCCGGGCGACAATTGATGGTTACATCAATGTTTTCTTGTTGTACATTGTATTGTTACTCTCTGTTCGTCCAGTGAGTTTCAATCCATAGCAATAACCATCAGAATCGCTCACTAAAATCTGGATTATTGTCCTGATTTCTTACTGCGACACATTTTTCTATAGTGTTCTTTATGACAGTCGTGACACCTTTGTCCTTTTACTGGACATGGACGGTCCAAGTGTGGAAAAGGTCCTAGACAATTTCAACACTGTACTTTGTATTTTGGTTTTGAGACATGGTGTCGTTGCTTTACTGTTTTTATATATTTTTTTTATATATGCAAGTCTGTTCAACATTGGGCTTATGGTTACTTGGAAATGAGACCTTCGGAAAAAACTGCTTCAAAAATGTTAACCTGCTCCAAAAACCCTAACCTGGTTATTCCTTACCTGAAATTGAAGCATTGACGATGAGCAGTTAATGAAAAATAATGTGACGAAAATTTGTTATGCATGAAACGGACCGACGTATGCATGAACAAGAAGTTGACATCGGATTTGAACAAAAATGAACACCACTACATGGCATGCCTCAGAGAAGATTGTATTAGAATTTAAAGCATCTTCGATGAGTTGTTGCTGAGAATTTATGCATGAAACGGAAAAAAGCACGGATGAACAGGAAGTTTATATCGGATTTGATAAAACATGAATTCCACCATATTAGATGCCTCAGACAGACACACAAGGGTAAAACATTATACACTTTAACCCTAGTCCTTCGGAGCGGGGTATAATATATATATATATATATATATATATATATTATATATATATATATATATATATATATTTTTATAAATACCTTTTACAGGGTTTGGGCAAAACGGATGGGCAAAACATAATACATTTCAATATAAAGCGATTTTTAAAAATATATATATATTTTTCTTCCCAAAAACAAAGCCATGGTTAATTATATTCTTTGGAACAAGTGTAGATTCCAGTCTGATCAAAATGTAACCCCTGGGGTGAGGTCTCAAGTCTCAACTCTAATACTGCATAAATTCCGAAAGAAATTGAGTTGCATTTAGAGTATCGCACTATGAAAACTTCCTAAGAATTTTTTTATATTGAAATGTTAAGATTGAGTGGAAAACGATATAATACCTCTATAAAGATAGCTTAGAGACTGTGAACAATTCGGTGATTGATTCAAGGAAACGATTTATTACATGAAATCATTCAATATTACATCTCAAATACAAGCCAACCACTGAAACTTGACCAACCATCACCGTGGAGATATGTCCCACTTGTGCTCCTGATATTGACAATATCCCCGCCCTCAAGCGTGATGGGAACCACTCCAGTGCAGCTCGAATAGGAAGCTGTTGTTGCCAAATTGTTACAGTTATTCAACTGATGTCTTGCACCATTGACCAATAATTCGGTATCAAAAATTTTTCCAGCGGGTGTCAGTGATTCCCAACTAAAGACGTAAAAGCCTTTCCTTGGGGCAGTAAAATGTCCAGTCGAGGGATTGTAACAGTTGTGGAAGTTATCTCGAACACCATCGTACACAACATCTACTTGGGACGTTGAAGGAAAGGTCAAGTGGGTTTTCCTGTATGCCGAAAAATACACGGGGGTTCTTTCTATATAATGAACAAAAATATAAATTTAGATATCCGCGGAAGACAAACTTTCTTCAAAGATTCAAGTGGTTAGAGTGTCTGCTCTAAAGTGGCGAAGTAAGCAGTTGATCCTTACGTCGCGGGTTCGAATCCAGACCGGTATTTCGGATGAGACCTTATAAACAGAGGCCCCGTGTTGCAGTAGGTGCTGGCACGAAAAGATCCCTCCCTGCTCAATGGCCCTGAGTGCCGAGTATAAGACAACATTTGCAGCTCTCCACTGTTATGTAGTAGAGTCTTTATATGAGTAAAATATTCTCGAGAAGGACGTTAAACAACGTACAATCAATCAATCAAACATTCAATACGGGCCCATTAGAGAAAGTGTTGAATTAGTTTACATTTTTAAAATATGGGGTATACAATTCCTATAATTAAGTACTAGTTTTAAAGTACAGATCGCTAAGTTTTCACTCGTTAAAATTCATGTTTATTACAAACACGAAAGAAATATATTCAATATTATTTTAATAATCTGTATTACTCTGCATTATATATGTCCAGCTCTTTTCTATGTAAATACAGTGTATCTACACAAACATTTACGAGCTTCATTTTTACAGTTTCAGGAGAATGCGAACATAGATACTTCACAGTTAATGAAGCGCACAAGATAAATATAAGTTTTTTCCTACACACCTACAATTTTAGAAATTTCAGAATTACCTGTGTTAATTTTAGATTTCAAGTCGGCATTTTCAGTTCTCAAAGTGCTGACTTCCTGTGACAGTCCTTGAATCAGAGATTCCATGTGAGCTAAACGTTGCTCGATGGACGAAGGGTCATTAAGTAGCAAACCATCACTTGCACATACACACGCAAATAACACCGCAATATATATGATACACATTTTCTTCTGCGGATTTGGCAAATATTGTAAATTTATCTCTGTCAGAGATAAGCCATTGACATACTAACCTCATATAAGGAAGTTCCTAGTGGTTATTATGGTTATTTTCTTTCATGTTTTAAATTTTCCCATTGCTGCAATAATCAGCAGGAGCATCAAATCTCAAAGACCTTCGTTTTACAAAACTTTATTTAGTAATTAAAATAGGTGACAATAATCTATTTACAAAATCTATAAATAAAATACAGATCAAGCATAAATCACAAACCCGTGTAAATTCCAGAGGTAAGACCAGGTGCTATGGAGGAGTTAGCACGCTTTTAACATAGAAAGCTCAACAACGATATATAAATAAAATACCGGTACCGGTAAATATTTTGATACGACAAAAGGCCTAAAGAATTAATGTGCATTGACAAAGAATGAGATATGTGATGATATGGACGATAAATCATGTTCAAATATTTAATAAACAATGGAAAATTTGGGCCAAAACCTCAGAGGTGGAATCAGGTGCCATGGAGGAGTGAGCATCGTCACACCCGCCGTGTGCTACTGGTCATGATAGGAAATAACGGAAAACCTGTCGACCATTCAGTGTGTATTTGCTGCCCTAAAAAATGGTATGAAATTCGTCATTCAGCATTTGACAAAAAGTATATTGTTGCATAAGTAAGGGAAGTTGACGAAGTCATCACGTTTATCATAAAGCTTCGTTGTAAGATTAACATTAACACCTTCGTAAAATTAAATATCAAATTATGAAAAAAGATATGTCAGATTCTGTTTTATCTTTTATCTCAAGCTCACTAAGATATATCGTCTTGACAGAAAATGGAAATAACTATGGTTAATTGACAAAAATCCTCTGTTATACAAGGTACAAGATTTTATTTATCCAATTTGGGCCCCGGGAGGAGCAAAAAGATTTACAAACAAAAGAAGGAGGGGGATCCAAATGATAGAACAAGCATGATGATGATATCACATATAATGAGCAATTGGTAAAAAAAAAACGTATATAAGAGATATACTGAATATACATACATGTACTGTATTGTCTGTTATATATATAAAAAAATACATAGTCAAGGGCAAGAAACTGGGAAAAAAAGTATATATAATGCTTATCAAAATATATGTTCAATATGCCCTTTGGTTTTACGGCATGTCCAGTTTTAGTACTAACTGGTAGTTTGGAACTTCTGTATTTTTGCATCGTAAACGCTCTGCATTCTATTGTCATCCTAATGCACAAGTTTCTCCTGACCTACTTTTGAAAGTTTAAATCTGTCACAGCCGTTCTAATTTGTTGTTCCTTTGTAATAACAACAATACAGTTACTGAGTTCGATTGTTTAACTATATTTTTTTCAGTTATATGACAAGATTTCAAAAAGGTGACATGTAACAAAAACAGTAATGAATGTAAGTTAATACACTCTCATACCTTTACATTCACACATTTCATTATTTTAGAACTCTTTAACTGTTCCAATATCATTAAATTTATATTGATTGATTGATTGATTGTTTATTGTTTAACGTCCCTCTTGAGAATTTTTCACTCATATGGAGACGTCACCGTATGCTGGTGAAGGGCTTCAAATTTTGACCTTTACTAGGCACTCAGGGCCATTGAGCAGTGAGGGATTTTTATCGTTCCAACGCCTGCCGCTGACACGGGGTCTCGGTTTTTAAGGTCTCATCCGAAGGACCCGCAACTTTCACTTCAAAGTGCCGAGCGCATGGCGAAGGAACAGTTGCTACCCATTTTATCGACTGGGTCAGTCGCGGCCGAGATACGAACTCACGACCTCCCGATCACGGAGCGAGCGCTCTACCGACTGAGATACCGTCAACGGTAAATTTATAATGAAGTAGATAAAAAGGAATTTAATTTATTCAGGGCAACCGTGGTAAAATTTCTTACCTAATAGAGTTATTTTGTCCACATTATAAAATGTAAGACCCTATATGGGGAAGGAGAGGAATTCTACCATTCAACTGGCTTTCCTGGGGTTAAGTGAATTAGTAAGGGTATTTGGCGCCAAGCATACGCACCTGATACCATAACTAATAAAACCATTCATACATTTCTCACTTTAAAATATCAACCAATCAGTAAATTTAAGAGAACTGTATTTCACTTTACTGTATAGGTAAAGAAAAATTTAAATAAAAAAAAAAAAAACAATGTATAAATAATAAATACATACAAGTCTTCTAATAAATATACACGCTTATTAGAACGACGATATATATATGATTACGCTATCTTCGATCTTAATAAAACGAAGATTAGTGTTTCCATATGAGTCAAAAATTCTCGAGAGGGACGTTAAACATCATATATAATCAATCAACACAGAATGGAGATAATAGTTCAGTTTGATAAAATTAAGCAGTGAGGATTTATTTTGTCTCGGCATCTGCTGCAACAAGGGATCTCGTTCGTTTTATAGGCCTCATCCAAAAGACCAATATACAATAATCTCCACGACTCAGAACGACTCACAGATGGAATCAACCCGCGACGTATGCATAAACTTCTTACTCCATAAATGTAAATCAAACGCTCGAACCACCATGACAAGTTGGTATTTAAATAAAATAATGATTTTTAAAAATTTATTTATTCTATATTGAATTAATCGTTTTTTTTTCTCTCTCGCAATTTTCGTTGCCTAACAAATTTGATCAATGTTACTCCTGAGACTTTGAAGGACAGCAACAAAGTGTTGATTTTACATATTTACGAAAATCAACCAGCTTCCAAATGTACAAAATTGGATTAGCTACGGCATTTAAAATATTTATACATAACAATACACCCATTACTCTAGGGCTACATTCCTCAACCCAAAGACTAACAATAAGTGGTCCAGTAAAAACCAAAAGGGCGCTAATCAACAGCCCAACTAAATACAGAGTACCTATAACCTTTTTATGCCTGATTTGAACAATTGGATTTCTGACTTCCCTTGTTGTTTGAGAGATGGGTCCGTTTTCCTCGAAGGCACTGGTTTGTGGAGCTACATGTAGTTGACATTTTCTTATAGGATTCACTTTCAAAGGAACATCATTGGACTTTCCTTTCGGATGTATTTTGAGGCTCTGCGTTTTAATATGTTTGATTGTCAGTACGTAAAGAATTAACGTAAATAATAAAAGAATCGTCGATAAAAACCTACTGAGTGCTCTGTATACCATGTAATGGCCATTATACACGTACTCCGTGATCCTGTCCTTTGAAGGGTTAAACTTTGTGCGAGATGGCGAGATAAGAAAAAAGTTAATCAGCAAAACCACCATCCAACAACCAAAACATACAAAATACTTCCTCTTCTGTTTAAAAAGGAACATGTGTACTTTTTCTTTAGAAACGATTAAATATCGTTGTAAGCTGATCAGAAATATCTGCAGTAGTGAAAGATACAGCCCAGTTGTAATAAAATGCATTTGCGAAATAGTTAAAAGACTATTCGCGTGTAAATAAGGAAACATTTGTTTGATGCAGCCGCACATAATTCCAAGCCCCATCGTGAAATCGCTTACGGACAACATCAGAACAAGGAAGTAGTAAGGGTTGCGGCGTATTTTCTTTTCTTTGATGATGAGGATAAATACTCCGCTATTAAAGACGAATACACAAAACAAAGCCGTTAATAACGGAATAAACATAAATGTTGGTATTGTTATATAGTGTAACTTCTGGTCCGGCAAAGAGCAGTTCAGGTCTCCAGCTGGCAAGCAACTTAAATTCTTTACAATATCCATCTTCCTTATTTGTCTTTGTAGAATGTCCCAGGGATCAGTACTCATATTCATTGTTGAAGTAAACATCACCAGAAGCTGAAAGAATATATATATATATATATATATATATATATATATATATATATATATATATATATATATAGACATGTATATACATTGATACTTTTAAACTGTTTATAATTTAAAATTACTTCAAGATGTTTCATTTTGTAGTTCGTTCAAAACAAAATTTTATAAAAGGGTAGCGCATTCTTGGAAAATAAATACTAAAAGAAAACCTTTATAATCTGATTTGTCATCTTCTTACAATTAACAAGGTATATTTCCCGCAAAACAGGATGTAATTCCAAATGTAAGAAATTCCAAATTAGGATTGAAATACTTTTACATAGTGTGATACAATCTTTTTTTAAATATGAGAGTTTTTTCCTTGCATGTCTGTGGTCTTAAAAATTTTTACTAGAACTAATAATTAGTATACATGTAATACGTATTTTTGTTCTTTTCTTAGACCATATTTTAACTCCTTTAAAACAAGAGCTCCATATAAACACATAAAAGTGATGAAATTTGAAATCTTAAAATGTAAAAAAATCTTTGCCTTGCCAAATGATAGTTCACAACTTAAGATATCGTATAAAAAATAATACAAATATGTAAAGATGACGAAATTCCAGAGACGGGATTTTGTACATAGATGGAGTATCATCCCCTAGCGACCAGTCACACCAAAAGCTTCTTTTCCAAGGAATGACCATGTAGACGGTACTTTTCGTAGTCTAGTCCATCGTACAAGTCAGCCGAAATACAACCCAATGATAGATAAGCGTAAATATGCAGAATTGAATTCTAACAAATAAGACAACTTTAAAGTACAATTCTAAGGGACTAAGTGTCTACATATTGAGATAAAATCACACCCAGATTTGGTACTCAAAGAACAACAACAGCAGCAAGTACCCCATCCCCCAACAAATACAGTTCCAGCTCAGCTCAGCTACAACAGAACTGTTCATCAAGCTGGAGAAATCTGACGGTAAAACATCTGTTCAATGGTGGATGAAATTTATGGCTCTTATTTCCATACAAGGTCTTTCCGAACAGAGCCATCCTCCGTTTACCCTTCTTCCTAATTATAGCAGCATAGACGTGCTTTGGAAATAGTAAAAAAATTAACATTAAGTTCATTAAAGAAGCCTTCATCAACCGTTTCAAGCCGCCATCAAACCACGCCTTTGATCTCTGGACA